CCGCACGCCTGTAGTTCCAGCTACTTGGAAGGCTGAGGCGGAAGGATCGCCAGAGCCCAGCAGGTTGAGGCTGCAGTGCCCTGTACCGGCCACTGCACTCCAGTCTGGGCGACAGAGTGAGACTCTGACTCAAAAAAAAAAAAAATTTTTTTTGATTGCTTAAAGGTTGTTTTGTCTGATATTAAGACTCTAACTCAAAAAAAAAAAAAAAAAAAAAGAATACGGATGTAAAGAAACAAATATTTTCATACAGCTGTACAATGTATTTGTGTTTTAAGCTATGTTATTACAAGAATCAAAAAGTTAAAAGAAATTTAAAAGTTTATAAAATAAAAAAGTTACAGTGATCAAAGGTTAATTTATGATCGAAGAAAGACCACTTAAAAAAATTTAGTGTAACCTAAGTGTGCAGTGTTTATAGCATCTACAGTGATGTACATAATGTCCTAAGCCTTCACATTCACTCCCCACTCACTCACTGACCCACACTGAACAACGTCCATTCCTGCAGGTTTCATTCATGGAAAGGGTCTGGCACAAGTGGACCATTTTTATCTTTTCTAATATACAATAATATATATATATTTTTTTCCTTTTCTTTTTTTTCTGAGTTGGACTGCACTCAGGCTGGAGTGCAGTCACGGCTACGCTTCTGAGGCTCAGGCATTCCTTCTGCCTCAGCCTTCCAAGTTGCTGGAACTACAGGCATGCGCCACCATGCCTGGTTAATTTTTTGATGTATTGTACAGACAAGGTCTCACCAAGTTGCCCAGGCTGGTCTTAAACTTCTGGGCTCAAGCAATTCTCCTGCTTTGGCCTCCCAAAGTGCTAGGATGACAGGTGTGAACATTGCGCCCAGCGTCTGCTGTATTTTTACAGTACCTTTTCTATGTTTAGTGACCACAAATACTATCGTGTTACAATTGCCTGTAGTATTCAGTACAGTAAATGTGCTGTACAAGTTTGTAGTCTAAAGCAACAGGCTGTACCTAGCTGTGTACATATAGTCATACATTGCTTATCATTAGGAATACATCCCGAGAATTGTGTCATTAGGAGATTTCACCCTTGTGTGAACATCATGAAGTGTACTTACACAGCCCTAGGTTGCGTAGCCTACTGCACACCTAGGCTGTATAGTGTAGCTATTATAATCTATGGAGTCACCATCATATTTGTGATCTGTTGCTGACCAAAATGTCATTATGTGGCACATGACTGTATATATATATATATGTAAATGCAAAATAAAGTAAAAATTTAACAAAAAAGTTATCTTTAAATATATATTTAATAATTTAATAATATATAAATATACATATTCTGAAATATTTGAGAGTAAATTGCAAATGTTATCTGCTTTCCATGTGCAATTATTGCAGCTCTCCTGAAGTTTGAAATTATATAAAAATAGAAAGTTACTCCCCAAATTAGTTAAAACGATAAAGAAAATATGTCTGTAGTTGGGTGAACTTTGAAGGCAGAGTAGAATTTGGATATCAAGATTCTTTAGCAATGTTATCATCATTAGATAAATGTATTACCTCCTTCCAAATAAAGGATAGTAAAACAGATGGTATAATTAGTATCATTATATTAATTTTAGAGAAAGTTTCCTTCTGGTCTTTTTCTCAGTTTAAACTCATTGACCAAGTGTGGTGGCTCATGCCTGTCATTCCAGCACTTTGGGAAGCCACAGCAGGAGGATTGCTTGAGCCCAGGAGTTTGAGACTAGGTTGGGTGACATAGCAAGACCTTGTCTCTACCAAAAAAAATTAGTTGGTGTGATGGCATGCACCTGAGTTCTGGAAGGCTGAGGTGGGAGGATGGCCTGAACCCAGGAGTTCAGAGCTGCCGTGAGCCATGATTGTGCCACTGCATTCCAACCTGGCAACACTCACCCTAATGAGCATGGCCATTACTTGGATTGCATTATTTTGGGAACTTATGTAGGAAAAGCATGGTCAATAGAGGGTCAAGAGTAAGCCACGACAATTTCTATGTTATTCGTTCAACATACACACTAGATGTGGGCACTGTGTAGGCGAGGATTGGTGATGAAGAGCACATGGTCCCTACCTTCAAGAAGCTCACAGTCCAACTACGAAGATGGTCATGCAAATAAATAGATTAACCTCTGAGCAATCATATAGTCAGAGAAGCACATACACTCCAGTGGGAGGAGTCCAGTGAGGAAGATCAGTTTACTCCTGGTTCTCTTCAGCCTGGAAAGCACTGGTGGCAGGAAGTGACCTGAGACTTATAGGTGGTGAACTTCGTGATTATGGGTTTTCATGGAATAAAATGATTATACATGTGCTCTTTAGATAAGAAAAATTATTCCTAAGATTCTTTGAAAAAAGAAGCTACTTGTTCATTTCCCTAGCTGTAGTAGTTACAATGGACCAGAATCACTGCATGGAGTGAGGCTAAACGCCCCCTCCTCCTCCTCCAACCGGGTTGCCTAAGTCAGGGTTTAGATGCTCCAGATTATTAAATCAGCACCATGCAAATCTCACAGTCACTAGGTGAAGTAGTAGAGAAACGGTAATGTGAAGCACATTAGTCAGACCAGAACAATAGTTACCTACAGCCAAGTAAAATTATCACAAAAAAAAAAATTGTCTTCCAGAGAGGAAAAGTCACTGTTACCTACAGAAACGAAATGGAAGGACAGAGCAGAAACAGTGATTATTGGAGGCGGCTGTGTTGGTGTGAGCCTGGCTTACCACCTAGCGAAAGCAGGGATGAAAGACGTAGTCCTGCTGGAGAAATCGGAGCTCACAGCTGGATCCACCTGGCACGCAGTAAGAAAAGCACCCCAGGCTGTCCTGTGCATGGAATTGTGCACTAGCACAGGCCGTTTCCTTCCCATCCACAGCTCCCACTGTGAGCTCTTTAGAGAGTTCCCTTTCAACAGAGTGGGAGTGCAATTGCCGCTTATCTGGTGTATGTTATGTCCAGGCAGCAACAAATGTTTACGATGTCTTTATCTTGAACATCTGGTTTCTGGGTTCAAATCTGGGCTTTGCTGTTTTCTACCCATGTGACTTCTGGCAAATGATATAAACTACCATTTTCTGATGTCTTAATGGGAGTATGAATAGTACCTACCTAACAGGGTTGTGGTGAAGACTGAATTAATACAGTGAGTGTTTAATAATAGGTGCCAGCTTTTCTATCAAAGAATGCTGAGTAATCCTGAGTGTGGACCCAAGACCTTTTCTCATACCCCCCACCTGCGTTGGGTTGTCCTTTTTTTTTTGAGTTGGAGTCTCACTCTGTCTCCCAGACTGGAGTGCAGTGGCCGCTCCCGGCCACCGCAGCCTCGACCTGCTGGGCTCCAGCGATCTTTCTGCCTCAGCCTTCCAAGTAGCCGGAATTACAGGCATGTGCTACCACACCCGGCTGATTTTTTGATTTATTGTAGAGATGAGGTCTTGCGGCCCAGGCGGGTCTTGAACCCGCGGGTTCAGGCAATCCACTCACCTCAGCCTCCCAAAGGCACGGGATTACAGGCTGAGCCACTGAGCCTGGCTGGGTTGTCCTTTTTTTTACGTAGGATTTTAATTTTGTGCTGTGAGACAACAGCTTGGCCTCCTGAGGACTTACATATGAGGATGGCGAGTGTGCCTCAGCTTTCCTGTGAAATACACAAGACCAAGTCTTGCATACTTCATGGTAGACACGTTGTTCCAGGGCTGCACAATAACTGATTGGGCTTAACTGGAAGACTGCCTAGGTAAATGAGGGAGTGGCCTTGCTCTCAGATTGTCAAACCAATTTTTTCTGAAGTCAGCTAAGGATGGGAGAGAAGTATTTATGACTCCTAGTGCAGTTTTCTTTTGGAGTAAGATTTGGGCAGTGATAGCGCCTGCTCATCACACCTTTCTGCCATTAACTTTCCTCTGCTGAGAAGAAGAGGGACAAGAGGGAACCCTGCTTGGAGGGGATTTGTGATAGTCTGCACCTGCTCCAAGTATGGAGGGAAGTCTAGCACGAAGAGAGTTGCCTGCCTCCAGCTGAATCTGGGGGTGATGCTGCCTGGATGTAAGCCCCATCGTGGTCCTTGCCCTCATGGTGGGGCAGACAGAAAACATACCACTGAGAAAAATCAGCACCATGAAGGAAAGTAAGATTGCATCAAAGTGTAGAATGATGGGGGCGGAGAAGGGCAAGGAGGGGCCTTCACAGAGGTGCCATGTCAGCAGAGACCAGGCAGCAGGGAGCCAGGGACCTGTGAGGCTGTCTGGGAAATAGCCCTCGGACAGAGAGAAATGGGCAAGTGCAGGTGTCCTGAGGAGAGGCTCACACCCTCACCACTTCTGGATTGTTGAGGAGGGCATTCACGTTAATGTCTGAATTACTTACTTGCTCTTTTGTATACTGGTTTAACATGGCCTGCATTTTAGGTTACGAGATGGCCTGTGATTTTATTTCTTAAATATCCCATGAATAAGAAGCAGCGTACCCTTAATCTAAGTTTTTGTATGAAAAGTGTTCAAAGTTTTTAAGGTGGTAGCTTCTTGATAAAGGTTAACTATGCAAAATAATTTTCCTTAAGCAAAGAGATACCAAAGCGAGTGGCAAAGACTTGACCCTGCTTTGAAGACAGGGTATCACCCCGTGGGTCCATGCAGTGGGAGCTCAGGGTAGAATCAGGAGTCTGGTTATTTGGCCCCCTTGGAATAAAAGAAAAGAGATTTGTGGGAGCTCAGGGTAGAATCAGGAGTCTGGTTATTTGGCCCCCTTGGAATAAAAGAAAAGAGATTTGTCCTAGGAAGCTGATTCCAGGAATTTTTGCATTCAAAGAGGCCTTCCTCTGAGGAGCAGCGTGAAGAAATTCCACATACCAGGAATTTTTAACACAGGGAAATATATGGAGCAGACATGAGAATGCGGAAGGTTGGGGAGCTGGCTAAGGGCAGACTCCAGAACCCAAGGCAGCGTAGCTGGATTTAACACATGCTCAATGACAAAACGTTGGGAGAGTGCCGGGCTCAAGCGCACTAGGAGGGAAGGCGCGGCTCGCATGGTGACTATTCAAAATGGAGTCACGAACGCATAAGTCCTGAGGCGTAGCTATATTTTAACAAGACTTGTAATATTATAGTGTGCTTCATGTGGGATGGAGGGAGAGGGGAGAGGATGGATGGGAGCAGTTTTGGAGCTTGGGTCCCCGGGATAGGCTGCCCTGGGGTTGGTGTCCAAGTGGATGTCTGGAGCGCTGAGGACGAAAGATGCGAGATGATCCACTTGGGGTGTAGGAAGACGATAGCAGAGCTTTTATTACAAGAAAAACCGGACCGTATAGAAGATTGTGCCCGCAAACTGGGAAGGAGCTGAGAGGCCAAAGAATGATGCAGACAAGCCCAGTTTGGCCAGTAGGTAAGCTCATTAGGACCTATGTCCAGGGCATGCCTGGGCCGAGCAGGATGACTCTCGAGATTCGCCAGCCCCCTTCTCGAAGCTGCTTTCACGCGAATTGTCTGGTTCTTTGCCTACTGTGTGTGAGGAGACTGCTTTTCATACTTTGTTTTCATACGCCTCCAGGATATCTGGATTCTCAGGGACACCTGCCCCTTAGCTGGGCAGGAGGCCCTGGCTCACTGCTTGACATTCAAGGTTCAAGCAGCAGACAGACACCCTAAGTCACCTGGTGGGGAACCCATCTCACTACAACTCTCCAGTTGTTTTTGTCTATAAATGTTAGAAAGAAGTTAAGTTCTACTCATGTTTATAAATAGCCTTTACATTGGATGTGTGTGATGTGTTGCGTGTGACTCTGGGTTGCCTAAGGGGGAGTTGGCTCTCCATGGTGGGCATGTCTCTTCTGTCTTCCATGTGCCATGACACAGGGGAGATGCCGTGCTGTGGGATAACATCACTGTGATTAATTTTGCAGAAACAGGGCTGTAAGTAATATAATTTATAATGAAAGGGAGAGGGATGTGCTTGAGAGTGTGATAGTACACAAAAGGTTTGTTAGTTATCTCTTTTAGCAATAGCCAAAAGAGTTGTGAAACTTAGAGGGAAGTTGTTTTGTTTTATTTTGTTTCAGAAAGACGAGTCCCAAGTTTGCTGACTTAAGTCATTTCTACACAGCAGATTATATAAGATAGATGCAGCCTGTCCCTTCAAAGTAAAAGGGATGCTTTCAACAAGGGAGAAATAACCACCTTTTGCAAAATAGTCCTGTTGGGAAGAGAGTATTTTGAAAAAGGATGTTTGACAATGTTGGTATTAGATTTTCTGCCAAAAATGGTATCTATCACCTAGAAAAATTCTCATGTATGTGAGAAATCAATCTTTTAACCCACTTAAAATTTCCTGTGTTTCAGTGGGATTTGTCCTCATTTATTTAAAATGCAAAAACATAACCCCTTGTAACATCTGGTAGACAAAGAGAACATGAGACTTTGCAGTCAGACGTCCACAGAACCCTGCTATGGCTGTTGCCAGGATGGAGGAGGGCGTGTGCAGTGCAGGGCTCCCATCTCCTACTTGGGTTGGGTGCCATTGGGAGGCATCCTCTTCAGCGGGCACTGCCTCTCAAAGCAGTCTCAAAACAAACCTAGGACCAGGACTTTGCATCACTGTGCTACAGGTGTTTACGTTTTGCATACATATATGTATGTAATATATATATTAAATATGCATATATAATATATATTATGATAATATATCATATAAAATGAAACATATTAGTCATATAGCTCTTGCTAACATGTTATTAATAAACTTAATATTCAAAAGCTTTTCTACACAATAAATAAAATTATTTAAAATATTTTATTCATTCCAAGTTGCTTTTGTGTGTTATTGATCTCTAATATTTACATATATAAAGAAAGAAGTATACATGTTTTAGTGGTTATGCTAAAAAATATTTATTGGGTGTAAGTGTATGGGTAAGGATTTGAAGTCGCTGGGATGAGTGGAGCTCTGTCACTAGACTCTGAGGCAGAGACCCTTGAAAGAGGAGACAGGTGACTAAAGAGACGGGAGGCCCACTAGTTAGCATCCAGTGTGCTATCCATTGGCATCTACTGATGATCTATATCTCTTCTATTCTTTTTCTATCTCTCTTCCTCCTTTTTTTCTTTTTGAGTTACTCAAGCTGCAGTGCAGTAGCATGATTACAGATCACCACAAACTCGACCTCCTGGGCCCAGGCAATCCTTTCACCTCAGCTTCTCAAGCAGCTGGTACTACAAGCTCACACCAACACACCTGGCTAATTTTGTTTTGTTTTGCTTATTTTTTATAGAGACGAGTTCTCACTGTGTTGCCAGGTTTGCATCCACTGATGATTTTTCCAACTTTGTTATTCCTTTCGTACTTATTAATTGTTTGCTTCTCTCCTACTTATTTATTTATATCAACAAGGATCCACAAATTCTTAATTTGTTCAAAAGGGTTGTAATTCTTAGTGATTACACTTCTGTTTTATCTTCCCTCCTTTATCTTCTCCACCAACTATAATCATTTTCGTTCTTCAAATTAAAGCCAAGCCACTTCTCACTGAAGACTTCTGTGGCCCTTCTGGCATCTTCTCTTCCCTTGGTTGCATGGTTCCTATATCTTTCACTGTGTCGTCTGGCGCTTAATCATGTGGCCTTGATTTAGTTGTTTCATTTGTGAGCATTTCATAACCTCAACCAGACTTTAAAATCCTGGAGGATAAGAACAATGTTTTCTCCTTCTTCAGATTTCTCATTTACTATGTCCTTGTTGAAGTCACAGAAGAAAGAAATGTTTGCGCCCTCTTTACAATCAAAGTCACAAGACCGGGACTTAAATTAACAACAGATGTCATGCAAGACGTTACAGTCCAACAACTTAAATGGAAGCATTAATATGGGTAACCCCAAATTTTAGACACAGATTAAAAGACAAAGCCAATATGTCAAAGAAAGAGTATAAAAATTAAATTATTTTTATGCCTGGCAGAGAAAACAGAGCCTAAATCTTACTTACAACTAATCGAGCAGCAAGGAAAAGAGAGAAATCCAAATCGTTCAGTAGAAATAGGTATACTGTTGGATTAAAGGACACAAACTTTTCCTTGACCATGAATTTCTTTAAAAAAAATTTTTTTTTAATTTTAATTGTAATTAATGAATGTATTTTGAGTCGGTGTCTCACTCTGTCTCCTAGGCAGGAGTACATTGGCATGATCACAGCTCATTACAGCCTCATACTCCTAGGCTCAGGCAATCCTTCCATCTCAGTCTCCTGACACTTGCCACAAGGCCGACTAATTTTTAAAAAATTTTCTGTAGAGATGATGTCTTGCTGTGTTGCCCAGTCTGGTCTTGAACTCCTGGGCTCAGGCAATCCTCCTGCCTTGGCCTCCCAAAGTGGTGGAATTACAGGCGTGAGCATCCAGGCCTTGACAATGAATTTCTAAAAGAATTTGTTACCTAAAGTACATTGATCTTTTGTTATTAAATGACAGTTTTACAAAAATGAACCGATGTGAGTTCGATTTACAAAAATGAACCGATGTGAGTCTTTCAGTTGAGTTAATTAACTTGTAATTTCTGGGATGGAAGAAAGGAGGATTATATAGTGTAGATAGATGGTTAGGCTTCACTTGCATATAAAGATGAGAGGATCTTAAGGAGTGAACAATGATCAGTAGGTGCTTGTGCAGTGCTTGTGCAGATCAGTTTCTCATCTGTGCTTGTGCAGATCAGTTTCTCATCTGACAGAAAAGACATTGAATATAAAACTGGCATCACTGGCAAATACCTAAAGGCCAGGGATTTTCCTATCATTGAACCAGAAAAGTTCATATGCACAATAGAAACCAACATGAAGGAGGAGGGGGTGTTTGGCCATGCGGTCAAAGGGCCAGGCTTGTGTTCCGTCATGGGAGAGTTCCTTCTCTACTGCCCTGTGCTGCAGGGCAACCCATAAGCTGGGCCAGGATTTTTCTCAAAAATTGGCTATGCATAAGTTCAGGCACTTGAACAAGTACTAGATAGAAGTTATGGGGGTTTGTTGAACAAGTACTAGATAGAAGTTATGGGGGTTTGGTTCGTAAAGAATGACTGGCAAATTTTTTTTTTTTTTGAGTTGGAGTCTCACTCTGTCGCCCAGACTGGAGTGCAGTGGCCGCTCCCGGCCACCGCAGCCTCGACCTGCTGGGCTCAGGCGATCCTTCCACCTCAGCCTTCCGAGTAGCCGGAATTACAGGCATGCGCTACCACGCCCGGCTTATTTTTTGATTTATTGTAGAGATGAGGTCTCGCTGCCCAGGCGGGTCTCGAACCCGCGGGCTCAGGCAATCCACTCACCTCAGCCTCCCAAACACGCGGGATTACAGGCTGAGCCACCGAGCCCGGCTGACTGGCAAATTTTAATGAGGTGTTTTTGAGTTTAGTAGGACCAGATGCCGTAGAAATACCTTAGAAATATTCCTAAATAGATTTTATTGGGAACATGCTATATTCTGATGAATTTCCAGGATAAATTAGCTGCAAAATAAGGCCCTAGATACTTAATTGAGTGACCCCGCTTCACATATTTTCTTAGAATTCTTTGTCTGGAAACTGCACTGCATCTGCAAGAGTTGTTAAAATGGGTTTTGCTGTGACTAATATATAGATATATTTCCTGAGAGTCATTAATCTGCATTTACTCAACAAATATTTGTGGTATACCTCCCATGCACTCATCAAACAGATTAGACTTCAACAAAAGTCTATTCTCCAGGCTCCAATTATAAGGAATTTTCTAATTCTCAGATCTTGCAATTTCAGGAAAGGGACCAGAGGGCTGCTCCATCTGAGGGGAAGATGGGGATTGGGTCAAAGAAAATCCCTTGCTCATCCATGGTCCTCTTGCTTAAGGGAATGCACACATGGTTTGCTGACTTGAGTCCCCACTGTATCGTCTTCCCCTATGCTCTTCTGGAATCTTCTGGCCCCGTAGTCAGATGCATCATCCACTGCCCCCTGGCCTGCATGTGTTCCCCATACTCTTCCTAGTAGCAAGTATTTCTAAGCCTTCCATCCAAGACATCCCGATTCTGAATCTCCACACAACTCTTTTCCTGCCAACTTGTAGGGACTTGTATGTTCCTTGGCTGGCTCTCACATTACTGATGTGACTCCAGAGGCTTCTCAAAACCTGTCATGAGCCCTGTGTGCTGGTGTGCTTTAGCAGCTGCAGATGTGCTCTCATCCTCAGGAGTGGCTGACCTTGACCATGAATTTCTAAACATCTTGCCAGCATTCAATTACTGCTTAATAGATAAACTGTCAACCTTCGGAGAATGTTAATTAAAAAAATATATTTCTTTTCCTCCCCATTTTTAAGGCAGGTTTAACAACTTACTTTCATCCTGGAATAAACTTGAAGAAAATACATTATGACAGCATCAAACTTTATGAGAAACTGGAAGAAGAAACTGGGCAGGTAAATGCATTTAACTTGAAATTGTCTTAGTCGGGTCAGTCTTCAGAAATATGACAGACTTATGAAGGATTTTGACACCTCACTGTGTTTTGCTGTATTAGGGACATCACCGGTGTGTGCAGTGTCTAACATAGCAGTTTGCTTTAAAAATCAACTTGATTTCTTAAGTATATAATTAACATGTAATTAACTGTACTCTGGTTTTCAAATGAAGGAATAAAAAACAGCTTTCATAAATATCTTCAGTCAGTGACTAGATCTAGTAATTAAGAAATCAGAGCCTTTCAGCAACTGGCTTACAAAGGATCTGACAATGGCACAAGTCAGATTCCCATGAGACTCAGAAAGGGACATCGGGAGAAGTCCCTCCTTTGTTTTCATCCCTCTTATATTTACTCAGACTCTTAAAATAGGTGGCAGGCAAAGAATACCCACAGGCTGCAACTGAAGCCACTAGCATTTTTCATGCCACTTCCCTAGCCTAAAGCCTGTGGATGGCTCCCCACAGTCTGCAGGGTAAAGCCCAGGGATTAGGGAGGCCCCCAGAGCATGACCTTCACAGCTGACCCTGCCTGCTGCTCCAACATTTTCTTTTGCCACTCTTCCCCCTGCTCACATGCTTCAGCTGTTCTCTATAACGAATAGTTCTGGAATGTGCTGAGCGCTCTCCGATCGTTGTCTTTTGTGTTGTGTTCTGTTCTTTCTGCTGCATCCTCTGCCTGAAACAACCTTCAGCACCCTCCACAACTTCCCCAGGTCGCCCCTTTGAGAAACCTTCCTTGGTTTTCCTTGTCTGCCAGGGCATATCTTCTGGTCCTAAGAGCATTTGAGCACCCCCTCTTATAGCACAAATGCCTCTATGGTAATTGTTGCTTTACCAGGTGGTCTTCCCCATGGACTAGGAGCAACTTGAAGACAAAGATTGCTTCTTTCTCCCTGTGACCCAGGGCCTAGTCCAGTGCTTGGCAAACTCAAGGGCTTTGGTAGATGTCAAATGAATGTTTAATTCAATTCAGACTTAATCGCATTGTTTCAGCATTTTGATTCTTCGTAATCTCTCCTCATACACTTTGTCTTCCTCTTTTTCACGTAACTTTCACTCTATACATTAACACTCATCCATGTTATTGTAATTATACATTTAGGCTGTCTATCTTCAACTGCAGGGTCATTCTTCTCTTGTTCACGCTGACATCTCTGGGGCTTAGAATAGTACCTGTCATAGAGGAGGTACTTAGTAAATACAGTGGTTGCTGAATGAATGTCTTTCCATAAGATGCAAATATTTTATATAGTCATCTCTTTCACTCATAGTAAATCTCTTTTCTTGTACAACTGCATCTTCATTGTGCTAGAGAAGAGCCATGTTTGAGTGCCAAAAATGCTTGATGTCCTTTTATTGGAATTCTTGTCACAGGTGGTGGGATTCCATCAGCCAGGCAGTATCAGAATTGCTACAACTCCTGTGAGGGTAGATGAATTTAAATATCAAATGACTCGGACTGGCTGGCATGCAACAGAACAATATATTATTGAACCTGAAAAGATTCAAGAGATGTTCCCTTTACTCAACATGAATAAGGTATTCCTCTTAAGGATAGTTCTACCTTTTGTTGACTTCACTTAAAATTTTAAAAATTATTTTAAGAAGTGAATTAAAAATAGAAATATTTTTTAATACACATTTTGAATGGTAAAATCAGATGATTAATTCTGAAATTTGGGTAAATTACAAGATGAACTGTTGATATGCAAAATAATATATAAAAAGGTAATGAAAAATCTTATTCATTTTCTACCCATGACAACTGAGGAAATATTTTCAATAACTTTCTAGTACTGTATTATCCAGATCTAAGGGTTTCCGTGCATAAACTTTCTGTTTGAGAACTGTAGAAAGAATAATAACCTGATATGATAAATAAGTGTCTAGAATAGTCTGTTATTAAATTTTTCAGCAAAATCACTTGTGCCTGTAAAACCAGTACTTTGTGAGGCAGAGCATTGCCTGAGCCCGGGGGTTCAAGACCAGCCTGGGCAACTTGGTGAGACTTTGTCTCTACAATAAATCAAAAAATTAGTCAAGCATGGTGGTACACCTATAGTTTCATCTACTTGGAAGGCTGAGGCGGAAGGATCACCTGAGCCCAGCAGGTCGAGGCTGCGGTAGCCGTGATTGTGTCACTGCACTCCAGCCTGGGTGACAGAGTGAGACTCCATCTCAAAAAAAATTTTTTAATGAAATTAAGAAATGCTGTGCTATATTGCTCCATAAATATCACCTAGCTTATGTCTGTACTTCCCCCACAGACTCTTCCAGTTGTACATAGATTTGCACCACATTTGCCTGAGATAATCTATCTGACAGGGAATTTAGTGTTTTTCCTACTTGGTAATAATTCCTTTTAAATAATAATAACAATGACTAATACCACAGCACATATTTATGTACCAGTTACTATACTAAGTCCCTTACATGCATGATTTCATGTAATCTTCACAGTAATGTTATGAGGTAGGCCAGGAATGGTGGCTCACACCTGTAATCCCAGTCCTTGGGGAGGCTGAGGCAGGAGGATCATCTGAGCATACAGCAACATAAGATTATGCAGTATGACCAAGTGGAGTGTATCCCAGGAATGCAGAGTTGGTTTAACATCTACAAATTAATCAATGTAATAATAACATACTGATAGAATAAAAAAGAATACCATACAATCGTTTCAATAGATGCAGAAGCAAACATTTGACAAAAGCTCCTTGCTTGTATTTGGTGCTCAATCGATTTTTATTGAATAGGTGAGACCTAATTATAATACTTCACTGCTCCATGTATACACTCATTTTTATCAGCATTTCATTCTTCTTTTTTACCCCCCCCCCCACAGTACCTAGCCTGAAGCCCTAACACAAAGTAGGTATTCAAGAATTTGTTGTTGAATGACTGAATCAAGTATAGATCTTCCTGACACAGATATCTATTTAACATGTAAATTTATTAGCAATATTAAACAAGTAAGTATAAATTATAATTGAAATATCAGTTAGGACTAGATGTGGCTTCAGATGTCAAAAACCAAAATAATAAAAAGTAAGATAGAAGTTTATTTCTCCTTCATTTTGGCAGTCTAGGACTTGAACAGTGCTTCTTTTTCATGAAGACGTCAGGGACCTAGTCAGTCACCTTCCAGATCAGGAAACACTTTTAAAGTGCAATTTTATTAAACATTTGCTAGCATGATATACATTCATTTGAATATTGACTCTGTCATGATGGATTTAGGTTTTAGCTGGACTGTACAATCCTGGAGATGGTCACATTGACCCTTATTCTCTAACCATGGCCCTGGCAGCAGGGGCTAGGAAATATGGTGCCCTTTTAAAATATCCTGCACCAGTGACTTCTCTGAAGCCCAAGTCAGATGGAACATGGGATGTTGAAACACCACAGGGCTCTGTGAGAGCAAATAGAATTGTAAATGCTGCAGGTAAGCATCATATCTTTTTAAAATTTTTGTGTTTTTAAGTGGGATAAACTTTTTATTACATCATAAATTACCATTGTAATATACTTTTTTTCTAAACATCATACTGTACTAAATAAGGAATCACTGACGAGGAAGACAGAATGATCGCCAAAGAGATCTGCCCTGAACCAGGATGCTGGTTACCAGATGGTTTTCTACGCAGCTGTGAAATCTTGTGGGGTAATGGGGTGGAGGAGAGCAGTGGCAGGAGGTCTTTGAAAACAGCCATCTTGTGCTGGCCTGGGAAGGAGTAAGGGTGAGAGTGTGGCCCTGTGCAGAATGGTGAGGCTCCCCTGTGGGCTGCATTCCTAAGGCCTTGTGCCCAGCCACACCTGCTCCCTTTCCCTGGTGACTCAGGCAGCTTTTTGCTGACGGTTGTGTGAACTATCCTTTCCCAATTCTCAATGCTTTATCTCATTCAGATCAGATCTGAATGCCCCATAATCCATAATCCTTTTTAGAAAGCAGGATTTATTGAGAGGACAGAAAAGCTCCACAGTGGGAGGGGATTCGAGGGGTTTGCCCCCCATAATCCTTTTTATTTCCTTTTTCTCCTCCATCTCTTTTGCTCTACTGGGCAAAAGTTACAGGAAAACATGTAATTGATTAGGTATTAGTAGTCTACAGGAGGTATGCAGGAGTGTGTGTGTTTGATTATTTGTAACTCTTTTTTCAAAAAAATTTTATTTAAAGAGTAATGGAGAACAAAGGTTTGCATATCCCTCTTCTAGAATCAAAGCTAACAAAGATCAATTTTATAAATTAAAGCTGCCATGTACAGAAGGCATTGTACTAAAATGATCTGAGAGTGTGTGGCTGATGGAATGTTTCTCAGAGTTCCTCAGTGTGACCAGGATATCTCACACATGCAGGCAAGGCCCGCAGGCCAGCTCTGAAATCTGATTGATATAACCAGGAGATAGACTCAGAAAGTCAACCAAATTGTGAAAGAGGGAAAGGCTTCTGGGTCTTTAGGGTATCCATAAAAAGGAAATTCTAAGAGGAGACATTTTTCAGTTTACTGAAGTGTGTCCTGCACTGTTCATGGCAGTGGTGCTCTCTGACCCAGAGACATGTGCATTGCCAACCAAGTGACTTCAGCGAGCAAGTTATTTGGAAAAAAGGGGTAGTAGTGCACATCTTGAAAAATTATTATGGATAGTAAATAAGCTTCTAATGTAAAGTACTCAGAACAGAGCTTACCATGTTGAAAGTCGCACAAAAATTAGGTATAATAATTATTATGATTATTACAATTATTCCCTTGATAGTTTATGCCCTAATCTGAGATACACTAGCATCAGGTTATAATAACTTCTTGGTATCAGTCTTTAAATATATATATTTTTTATTTTTCTTTTCGAGATGAGGTCTCTCTGTGTAATTCAGGCTGAGTGCAATAGCACAATCAGCTCACTGCAGCCTTGAACTCTTGGTCTTAAGCAACCCTCCCAACTCTGTTCCCCCGCCCCGCCCCGGGCTCAAGCCACTGAGCCTGCAGTACCAGCTTTAAGATTGCTCAGTTCCTTTCTTTTGCCCTATATCCATCCAGAAACCATTTTGCTAACAAGTTAATTTTCCAAAGAACTTGATTATCAAACTAGTTAATGAGTATTGACATATTTGAAGCCCGGGAAGTTTCCCAGGCTTCAAAAAGATTCTAATTCAGGTGGTCTGAGCAGAGGCTCAGAAGCTGCATTTTGCATAAGTTCACCAGGTACTGTGCTGTCTGTACCAGACAATTTGCAAAAAATCTTTGGAGAAACACTACTTTACAGGTGCCCCCCTACAGGAGAGAGAATGTAGTGACTGTGTCTCAATACAAGTCACAAGCAGAGACGAGGGCGTTTCTGATGCTCCTGACCTCGTGGTGTGTGGTAGTCTAACTTGCCGTTAGTATCTGAAGCTTTCCAAATTGACTTCAGTCTACCCTTTCCCTTGGGTGCAGCTCAGGGACACTAGCAGGTGCTATTTATTATGATGCAAACTTTTTATCTGCACGGTATGGAACATTTCTGTTGACCTCACTTCCAATTACTTAAGAATTTTCCTAATATGTCAATTAGAAATGTGATTGGATGGTACCAACATAAAACCCAGTGTTCAGGCAAAAAGAATTGCTTGATCTTGCTTGATACTCTGCATCAAAGAATGAAGTCATCATTGTCGTTGTAGAAACCATCCAGTAGAAGTAAACTTGTACGTAAGCCTTCAGCCTGCATAGTAACCTAATTTCTACTAATCACTACATTTTTTGAAAAATGGAAGCCATTTCCGTTGACTCCTCTCTTCATTGTTTTTCAGGTGATAATGGTAGACTTTAGAATGAGTCTTTCATGCTTTTTTCTCTTCTCTTTGAACTTGGTGAGTGGTGCTCTAGCAGGAGTTGAGGTACAGTCCTAGCTGGTCTAGGTTAATCTGACTGACATGTGGAGGATGAGAATATCAGCACACACCACTGTCATAAGGGAAAACAGCAGAGGGCTTGCTATGGGTTTGAGGTAATATAGTTGTATGATATTATGCATACATTTCCTCTTTATTTTAATGATGAAGTGCATTAATAAGCATGTAATTGACTCATAAATTCATAAATATGTTTGAATAGGATAGAGTTTATTTTCTTCTATTTATGTTTTTAATTGAAACTAGTATATTGAGGATACTGCAGTAGTTTGAATTGCAAGCCTAAATATTTTGACTTTTTATATTTTAAAACTAGAATATGTGGTTTTACTACATATTCCTATAAAGTCCTGACATTGGTTATTCATATCTTCCTACTAGCAAGAATAAATTAAGTCTCTAAATTATTAAAAGAACAGCACATAGCTTTGATGACCACAGGTCAGATTTCTGGTTTGCAAATGAGTACCCATTTCTAGGTTTATTATACAAGTGTGACTAACTTAGCCTTTGGGCCAAAACAAAATAGTAGAACACAAGGATAATGTTGAGATGGTCACATGGTAATAAACTTACACTTATGAGTACAGAATCTAGATTCCCAGAGTGACTCATAGTGTCTAGCTCTGAACTTCTAAAGACAGAGACTTCAGAATTCCTTCTTAGATTCAGAAACAAAGTAGAGAAAGAAATAGTTAAAAACTTAGAGTGCAGGCTGGGCTTGGTGGCTTAGCCTGTAATCCCGCGCCTTGGGAGGCCGGGGTGAGTGAATTGCCTGAGTCCGCGGGATCGAGACCCGCCTGGGCAACTTGGCGAGACCTCATCTCTACAATAAAAATCAAAAAAATTAGCCGGGCATGGTAGCGCGCGCCTGTGGTTCCCGCTACTCGGAAGGCTGAGGCGGAAGGATCGCCGGAGCCCAGCAGGTCGAGGCTGCGGTGGCCGGGAGTGGCCACTGCACTCCTGTCTGGGCGACTGAGTGAGACTCCAACTCAAAAAAAAAAACAACTTAGAGTGCAAGTTCTAAAAAGTAACTTAAATAGAATTCTCTAATCATTTGAACAACTACTCAAAATTATTATGAAACAAATAAGCAAATAGAACTCCCTACTGCCAAATAATTCAGTGATAGGTAGGTGTAACAATATCACTGCCAAATAATCATTTTTATTAATTTAGATTCTACAATTCCTTTATACAAGTGAAGGTGCCTTGGACTTTTAAAATAAAGTCTTTCTGCAGAAAGAAAATCAACAACAAGATGTAATAATTACAAGATCTCCAGTGAACTCGGGGTGACTTACCCTCTTGGACGTTAGCTCCTCATCTGTGTACTGAAGGGTTGGCTCCGGAATGAATCAAGGGCCTTTTTAGTCACAAATTATCCAGCTCAATCTTTTGTAAATGAAAAGGGCAGCGTTCATTTTCAGCAACAAGACAGTCCCCATGCTTAATTGTGAAGTGAAAACCATTTGTTTTGGGAACACCCCACCTACTTATGACCTAGTCTCCCTTTCCTGTGGCTCCTCTTCCTCCCTTTTTTTTTGTTCCTGGTGCCTTTATACCTTTGCAAAAAAGATCTTACAAACTTATTCGAAAGAAATCTTTAAAACATAAAACTTGACTGGATGAGGTGCTCACTCCTTAATCCCAGAATTTTGGGAGGCCAAGGTAGGAGGATTGCTTGAGCCCGAACTTGAGTTTGAGATCAACCTAGGCAACATAGAGACCTCATCTCTACAGAAAATCAAAAAGTTAGTTGAGTGTGGTGACGTGTGCCTGTAGGTGGAAAGATCACCTGAACCCTGGAGGTCGAGGCTGTGGGTGAGCTGTGATCATGGCATTTAGGTCTAGGGGACAGTAAGAACTTGACTCAAAAAAGGATAAAGTTTAAGGGCTCTCTCCCAAAGTATATTCGCTTTCAATTTTTTTTTTTTTTTGAGTTGGAGTCTCACTCTGTTGCTCAGACTGGAGTGAAGTGGCCGCTCCCGGCCACCGCAGCCTCGACCTGCTGGACTCCGGCGATCCTTCCACCTCAGCCTTCCAAGTAGCCGGACACTTTCAAATTTTAAGTTAACACAACAATTTTGTATTTCTGAAATTTTACGCTTCAAAAAGTTGGGGAGGGCCGGGCTCGGTGGCTCAGCCTGTAATCCCGCGCTTTGGGAGGCTGAGGTGAGTGAATTACCTGAGCCTGAGGGTTCGAGACCCGCCTGGGCAACTTGGCGAAACCTCATCTCTACAATAAATCAAAAAATCAGCCAGACGTGGTAGCGCGTGCCTGTAATTCTGGCTACTCAGAAGACTGAGGTGGAAGGATCGCCAGAGCCCAGCAGGTCGAGGCTGCGGTGGCCGGGAGCGGCCACTGCATTCCAGTCTGGACGACAGAGCGAGACTCCGACTCAAAAAAAAAAAAAAAAAAAATTGGGGGAGAATAGGGTTTGGGGGATAGATGAGTTGACTTGCAGAGCTTTACTATGTATTATCATCTATTATTATGTGTTCTGTGGACCCCCTTGCCTGATTATCCTCGATTATAAGTGGAGACAGTCCATTACTGTATTTTTAAAAAATCAACATTTGTAGCCGGGCTCGGTGGCTCAGCCTATAATCCCGCACCTTTGTGAGGCTGAGGTGAGTGGATTGCCCGAGCCCGCGGGTTCGAGACCCGCCTGGGCAGCGAGACCTCATCTCTACAATAAATCAAAAAATCAGCCGGGCGTGGTAGCGCATGCCTGTAATTCCGGCTACTCAGAAAGCTGAGGCGGAAGGATCGCTGTAGCCCAGCAAGGGAGGCTGCGGTGACCGGGAGTGGCCACTGCACTCCAGTCTGGGCGACCAAGTGAGACTCTAACGCAAAAAAAAAAAAAAAAAAAATCTAAATTTGTACAGTTTTTATATTTGAGTTGTTTGTTTTTTTCTTTCAAATAATATTTTGTTTTTCTCCGCTCAGCTTTGCTTATGGGAAAAATACTTTTTCAGGAATGGCGTTCCCTTAGATTACAGATATTTTCAAAACTCTGGGTCATGCAACCTATTGTCTTGTCTTCTCTTCCCCCATTTGATTTTGGGATGACAGAAAATTTAAAGATTGTACTCAAGTCTTCTAAATACTTTATCGTAATATAAATTGCTTTATCAGTGTCAGATTACATATGTGCTGACATTTTTAATGGTTTCTTAAAAGGATTTTGGGCTCGTGAAGTAGGTAAAATGATTGGACTAGAACATCCTCTCATTCCGGTTCAACATCAGTATGTTGTTACATCAACTATACCTGAAGTGAAAGCTTTGAAGCGAGAACTCCCTGTGCTCCGTGACCTGGAAGGATCCTATTACCTCCGACAGGAAAGGGATGGGCTTCTGTTTGGCCCATATGAAACTCAGGAGAAAATGAAAGTTCAAGACTCCTGGGTCACCAATGGCGTTCCTCCAGGTGGGTTCAGCAAAAAAAAAGCGTGTGCGGTCAGACACATGTCTTCTATCCTGCCAGGGTAGGCTCTAGAACTAGGAGACACCTGGAAGATTGGAGGTGAGGGGTCCGAGGAGGGCTCTGTTTTCCTATCCCTTGGAACAGTCACAGCAGGGAGTGAGAAAACAGAGATGCAGTTGATGGCAGAGAAGCTGAGGAGACAAGTTCTAGCTGTTTCCAAAGCTCCAGAGACATTTTTACCTGCCCACACCAACCTCCTGCCTCCGCCTTTTTCCTCAATTCACCACCAGCTTGGTCTATTTTCAAGATTTGAATAGAGCTGCTATTGTGCTTTTATAGTTGGAAACCCAACTGGTCTCAGAATATCCATCCCACGAAGAATGAAAACCTAAGCGTCTACAACGGAGTAGAGTGGGCTGGTACTAGAGACTGAGGCCCTCCCATGCAACACAAATGGGAGCAGAACAGACTCAGGCCTCTGTGCTAAAGCAGGAGGTACTAGAGTTTCTCTTTCAAGTTCTCTAAGGGAAATGGGTTTTGTTTTTTTAGTTTGTTTGTTTTTCATGAAACGTTTCCACAGAACCAGATTAAAGATTTGGTCACCTAAGGAGGTACCTCCAGTTTTAATCTATAAAGGAAGCTAACATATCATTGGGGTGCTGAAATATTACAGGGAATATAATGAAATGGAGCTGGGTGTGGTGGCTCATGTCTGTAATTCCAGCAGTTTGGGAGGCTGAGGTGGGAGGATTCCTTGAGACCAGGAGTTTGAGACCAGCCTAGGAAACATAGAGAGACCTTGTCTCTACAGAAGATAAAAAAAATTTAACCAGGCATGGTGGCACACTCACTACCTGTAGTCCAGCTACTCAGGAGGCTTAAGTAGAAGGATAACCTGAGCCCAGGAGGTGGAGGCTGTGGTGAGCCGTGATCTTGCCCCTGCACTCCAGCCTGGGTGACAGAGTAAGAATCCAGCTCAAAAGAAAAGAAAGAAAAGAAAAGAAAGAAAATGGTATTTTCTAGAATTGTACTTTGGAAAGTTCTTTGAGATAGGAAGTGAATCCCTCCCTCCAACTCCTCATATAACAGCACATGGTAGCTAAACTACCTTCTGCAGAAGTAGTCCTGCTAGTTTTAGGACTTTCATTGTGTTGAGTAGGCTCTGGCATTTGGGCCTGAGTGAAATTGCTCCTGGTCCCAGAGGGAAGGCTTATCAGCCCACCAAGAACCTCCCTCTTAGCTGTTCTGCATGCTAGCAGCCTTGCCTCCAAATGAATGTTGAACAAAGGTTTACATCATGCCACCTGGAGGGGAAGCCAGGTGGTCAGCTGTACCCGGGTGTGGGTACCCATATATCCTTGTCCCACCCTGCTGGTCTTCAGCCCGCCAGGCAGCTGGCCTGACCTGCAGTCCCCACAAGGGGAAAGGAGAAGCTGGCTGAATCTTGCAGGAAAAAATCACCAGTGTTGGTAGAGATGTCCTTGTAGAAGACCATCTGTGGTCCTGACTGCCATCACAGTGACTTCTAGGGCAAAAGGATGACTGTGATCCAAGATCTATCTCTTTTCACAGAATTCTAGTCCTTGGATGTGTGTTGGCAGGCTGGAGGAAGGAGGCCTCTGTGCCATTTATGTGCAGAAAGGAGAGTTAAAAGGGGCCTGGAATCCATCATCTTAGATCCTGGAGTAGCCTTACACTTTTTCTAGTGTCCCGGCATGACTTTGCAAACTCCCATTTGTCCCCACCTGGGGGATGAAACAGGTCCTTATGATTGTTAAAGGATAAAGATTTATCTCAACAAACCCAATCATTTTAAAATTAAAATTATGATTTAATTAAATGTTGGAAATTGTTTTATATATACATTTAAGTTTTCTATTAATTAAAGAGATAACGTATGATTTTGTTTAAAGCATAATAACATTACTGTTCTCAGTAATATAAATGGATACCTATCTATTACTTGTGAATACCAAATTTAGATCCAAAAAAAAAAAAAAGGCAATACTTTCCTAACAGAGACTTTAATCACTTTAGAGTCCTGTCAGTGCAGCTAGGGCATCCTAACCACAATGAAATGCCTTTTCAGGGTTTGGGAAGGAACTCTTTGAGTCTGATCTAGACCGAATCATGGAACACGTTGAAGCTGCCATGGACATGGTTCCTGTCTTGAAAAAGGCTGACATCATCAATATTGTCAATGGTCCTATTACTTACTCTCCTGACATTCTGCCCATGGTGGGGCCCCATCAGGGTATCAGAAACTACTGGGTGGCTATAGGCTTTGGGTGAGTATCTGCATGTAAACCAACATTTATTATCGAGTCATTTATTTTAGCTAAGTCTGGTCTCATAATCTCAGGACAAAAAAGGAAAATGTGGAAGGGTGAGAGAGAGAGAGAGAGAGAGAGAGAGAGAGGCAGACAGACAGACATAGAGAGACAGAGAAGGTTCTCTCCCTTTCATGACCAATGAGTAATACAAGGAATACAAGGTTTCCATTTTAAAACACTCACAACACATTAGCACAGGGATGGGATTGGCAGTTGCGAGGGGCTGCTGGGGGGGGACGGAGGGAGGAGGGGAGGAGGAACGTGACAGCACAAAGGGTACCTGGTCCACACAGTCTACTTATAGACAATTCTCACTTGTGCCCACAACTCTATAATAAATTGATTAAAAATATAAAAGTAAAACTAAAACATTGACTATATATTGGTTCAATTTCTTGTATAAGTTTTAAAGGTTAGCACACAGAAGGGCAATGATTTCCTGGAACTTTCTCTCTACATATTTTCCTGCCATTCCATTACTTGTCTCTTTTTATGCGGCGTGTCTTCAAATAGGTCAATCTGGCCCGATTTTACAAGGATGTTTCATAATGCAATGTGACAAAGTTAATTCAAAATATCAAATGTGTAATATAGCTGATGCATTTTTCACCATAATTTGTGTTTGTCCAACATGATTTGTTTCTTTACAGTTCCTCAGGTGACTTCCGAGTTATGATTCCATTGCCTCTTTGATGTTTCATTTCTAATATTTGTCCCATTAATTTGGTGAATATTGATGTCAAGCCCACTCTACCAACACATCACAGTTTCTAATATTCTATTTTTCTTTTGCATTTTACTTGGCTGTTTATTCATCTAACATTTAATGACTGCTAGCTCTGTGCCAGGCCTAGGGCTAGACTTGGACACAGCTGAGGGTCTGAGCAGAGGTGGAAGGCTGGCTGTGTCACTGTCCTGCCACTGCAGTAGGGAGGCTGGTGTCTGACCTAAGATTGCAGCAGTGAGGATGGAGAGATAGGAGATGAAGCTATGTAGATTTGGTGACCGATGGCAGAAGGTCTTAAGGAAAAGGAAAACAGAGCAAATGATGGCAACTTTTCTAACTGAGCACTGGTTGCGTGTTGGGGTCACGGAGGAGAGAGCAAGGAAAATAATGAGTGCTCTATATTTGGGAAGTTGGGTTTAAAGCGTGAAGTTGAGGTCTGTGGGACATCAGAGGAGAAAGGCAGATGGAAGTACGGGAGGAAAGGTATCATATGTGTGAAGGCTTGTAGAATCACCTAAAGTCTGTATGTAGTAGCACGTGCATATCACTTGTGAATCTCCTTCGGAGAAGTGTCAATTCACATCCTTTGTCATTTTTATATATATATATATATTTTTTTTTTGAGTTGGAGTCTCACTCTGTCACCCAGACTGGAGTGCAGTGGCCACTCCTGGCCACCACAGCCTTGACCTGCTGGGCTCCGGCACTCCTTCTGCCTCAGCCTTCCAAGTAGCTGGAACTACAGGCACTCGCTACCATGCCCAGCTAGTTTTTGATTTATTGTAGAGATGAGGTCTCACCAAGTTGCCCGGGCGGGTCTTGAACCTGCAGGCTCAGGCAATCCACTCACCTCGGCCTTCCAAAGTGCTGGGATTACAGGCTGAGCCACCGAGCCCGGCCATCATTCTTATAATTTGATTATTTGCCCTTTTATTGTTAAGTTGGAGTTCTTTACATATCCTAGATACAAGACCTTCATCAGGTACATGATTTGCAAAAATATTCTCCCATCTGTGGATTGTCTTTTCACTTTCGTGATGGTGTCCATTGAAGCATAATGTTTTAATTTTGATGAAGTCCAGAATATGTATTTTTTTCTTCAGTGACATGTACCTTTGGTATCATATATAAGAAGCCATTGTTTAATCCAAGTTCATGAAGACATAAACCTACGCTTTCTTCTAAAAGTTTTACAGTTTTAGCTTTTACATTTAGATCTATGATCACTTTTGAGATAATTTTGTATAGAATGTGAAGTAGGTGTCCAACTTCATTCTTCTGCATGTGGATAGCCAGTTGTCGCAGCACGCTTTGTGGAAAAGACTATTCTTTCCTCATTGAATTGTGTTTGCATCTAACATGTCTTTTTTCTGAAAACACTTCTCACACCAAATGTTGTATTTTTCAAATACCGACGACCAATTCTCCAACACCAACTGGGCGTTCAGACAATTCAGTTCAATTCTGACACCAACTCCTGAAGTTAGTGTAGACCCCACAAGTTAAGGGATCAGTCCCACAAAACTGCTCTCACTTCAGACACCAGTCTCAAGTCTCTGGAGCCACCCATACTTCTGGTCAAATTGCTATAAATTTGGGCATTCCCACAACCCCCTCCTCAGCTTTGATGATTCACTAGAATGACTCACGTAACTCAGAAAAATGTTTTACTTATGCTAACTCTCTTATTATAAAGGATACAATCCAGGAACAGCCAAATGGAAGAGATGCATGGAGCAAAATGTGGGGAGTAGGGGTGAGAGGTAGAGCTACAATGCCCTTTTCAAGTGTGCCACCTTCCTAGCACGTCTTTGGGCTCTCCCTCACAGAAGCCTCTGAACCCCATCATTTAGGGGTCTTTCTGGCGATTTCATTATGTAAGCATGATTAATGAAATCATTGGTGATTGAATTCAGTATCTACCTCTACTCCCCTCCCAGGAAGTTGGAGTAGGGAGTGAGACTGAAAGTTCTGACTCTCTAATCACATGGTTGGTTTTTCTGGCAACCAGCCCTCATCCTGAAGCTATCTAGAAATGCTCTCTTCTCTCACAAGAGCAGTCTTATTTGCCTACAAAAGATAGGAGATTCCAAATGTTTAGGAACTCTGTGCCAGGAACTAGGGACAAAGGCTAAATATTTTTTACCATACAACAGCATCCATGCAAAAAATCAATTGACCATAAATATATGGGTTTATTTTTAAACTCATAATTCTATTCCATTGATCTATGTTTATTCTTATGCCACTACTACATGGTTTTAATTACTGTAGGTTTGTAGTAACTTCTGAAACCAGGAAGTGTGAATTCTCCAACTTTGTTCTTTTTCAGGATTGTTT